GCGGATGAACGTCGCATAAGGAATAAGGTTTGGCTTTCCATAAATAATAAATTCAATCAAATAAATTAACTAATGTCTTCTACAGGATCGTCCCTCCATTGCCATATATCAACCGAAGGTGCGAGTCGGTGTGAGCTCTGAAGATAATTCGCCCAGCTGTAAAGATGTGCCCGCATTTCCAAGTGACGGCGATGTTGCGATGTCCGAGGAAACGCTCAGGAATAAGAGGTTTGGCAGACGCAACAGGCAAAAGCCACAGGACAACAAAGACAACTTTGAGGCAACGCGGCGTGAGTCGAAATCCTCTGAAAGTAGCACAAGTGCCCATTCGATAGTAAAATGATAACAAATGAAATTTGTTATTTTTAGTTATGCAAATACTTTTACGCATTTATTAATAAAAATCACTCTCCATGTCCATTTGATCGCTGGACTTTTGATTGTTTTTAACCTGATCCTGTGAGTTGTACATGAGAGATACTTGATTCGCATCGGTGGCATTTTCCGGGCTCTTATCGTCCCGAATGCGAATGAATCGCGGAAAACGCAAGGAAATGCCGCGTTCAGGATCAACAGCTCCTATGGCGGCTCTATGGATCGGACTTAGGGACAGATCAGCACACTTAACTTCCCAAACTTGAACGGGCTCAAACCAAGCATCCGGCTCCAAGCTTGGATCATATCTAAAGTATGATTTGGCACTGCTAATCACATGCGCACTAAGGAACTCCGAATGTTGTCGCAAATCTTCATCTGTGAAGCCTGCGAAATATTAAGTAATTTAGCATAAATGAAGGCAGTAAATAAGTGCAGATTTTCAAGTACCTGTTCCGATCTTGCAAATGCTTTGATATTCTTCATTCTCTGTATCATAGCAAGCGAGCAGAAAGCCACCGTAGATGCCCGTGCGTCGGCCTTTGCCCTTATAACCACCGATCACAACCAGGTCCAGTGAGTCGCCAACATTTGACAAATAGTCCTTCTTCAATTTGAGCCAATTTCTTGATCGTTTCGCTATTTCATAGGTTGCCTCTTCGTCCAATGTTTTGACCATGAGACCCTCGCAGTTGCCTTTAATGGATTCCTCTAGGAATTGCTGCACTTCATCCATGTCGGTCGTGTCGAGGGCTGTGGCAAATTGCCACTCGCCTTCCACCTCTTGAAAGTGTTCCATCAGAATCTTGCGACGCTCAGACAGCGGCTTTGTCACAAGCGAAACTCCATTAAAGTACAGTAGATCGAAAATGTATACGCACACTTGCACTTTAATGTCAGCGATATCGACATTTTTGCGCTTGCGCGTTGTTAGAATTTGAAATGGAAGAATTTGCTTGCGTTCGATATCCCAGGCGACAATCTCGCTATCAAGTATATATGTCTCAACGTTGCCTTTCACTAATGATTTGCTTCTAGCAATCAGATCTGGATACTTTGGCGTGTTGTTCTCCGAATTTCGTGAGAAAATACTAATTTCGCCATCTTTATTCAAATGGATTTGGGCTCGTTCACCGTCGTATTTCCATTCACAAGTTATTTGCATGCCACTGAAGCGTTCCAGCACTTCCGAAACACCTTTCGTTGGCTGGGCGAGCATAGGCCTAAGCGGCATACCGGGATGCATAGGGCAACGATCTTGCAGTTCCTTAATATCATATTTCAATAATGCTGGTATGACGATATCGTAGTTCGGGCATTGGCTGGTAAAATAAAAATTGTAAATATTAAAATATTATTAAGTAAAAAGTAAAACAACTTAAATAATCTATAAGCATCTATTAGATCTACAGAGGTGATTTATGTTATGTCTTACCTATATGTGGTTTTAAGTATCAATGTTGTATCCGCTATTTCATCTTTGTAAATATCACAAACTTTATGGGCCTTGCAATCGTTGATGTGGTTCCGTTTGACGAGAGCTATTGCTAGAGCCGTGAGCAGGCTCTGTTCGGCAATGCCAATGCGTAATTTGCCAATTAGGGAACGTATAAAGAAGCGCGCTTCGGCATGTCGGCAAGCCACGAACACATCGTAGACGAGGGTTATTTTCGCCTGTCCCGAAATGTTGGCAATCTCCTTTAGTTTGGCGAACACGCCGCGCACATTTAATGGCTTCGGACGAAACATCATGCGCTGCGATACGCGGGACTGCTCAGCGACAATGCCCAGATCACCAGTTAATTGAGTTTGCGATTTGATGTGCGCCAAATTGCGTCCGGTTGCCTTGCAGATTGCTTTCATAAGCGTCGTTTCGGCGACGCCTAGTTCGAGTCCCTCGTACGCGGGCGCTAGCTGGTTGATACTCAGGTAAACGCACGGCAGTAAGTCCTCCGGACTAACCAGCATTACGGAGCAAAAGAAATTACTCAATGTATCAATCATTTTCAGTCGGCCTTTTGTCTCCTCAATAACTTGAAACGTACGGGCCAAGGCCAAGTAGGGCGTGCTAGACAAATAAATATAATATAAATCTAATTGAATGCGCTTTGTATTTATATTTGATTTCCACACTCTCATCTATAAAACTCAATCTCAACTTACGTGCGCTGCGCTTTCCAATAGGCATCATTAATGGGATGATAGGTTTCCACCGACGGATCGTAGGCTTCACTTGCTTCGTTTTCAGGCAACCCAGAGTTCAATTCCATTTTCCTTACCTTAACAGGCGACGGCGCCTCAAGCTCCATCTTTTCCTCAGAATCAACCGTCGGCAGCGCATTTTCATCTCCTTCCTCCTTTATGGTTTTCACAGGAGTTGGTACTTTAGGCTTTTCCTCAATGCTTGCACTTTTAGTTTCCTTCTTACTGTATTATTGTTCAATCCATTTGGTTTACCTTTAGTTTTGTTATTAAATTGCGTACTTACCGTGCATCCTCCGCGTATTTTGAGTTTTGACTTTCATCCTTTGGTTTAAAAAATGAGCTAGATTAACCAAGAAGACGGAAAATTTTTAAACACTGCAATGTATAATTGGTTTGTTTATATTTACGTTATCGACTTCTGCATTTTATCAACAATGTATTATTATAATCTATATATTTGTGTAAATATCTACAATATGTATGTACATTCGCGCCTTTTTCTGTCAGCATATCGATTATATCGTATACCTTGTATGGCTATTCCCTAAATATGAGACTTGTACTATCGATGGCCGGAGCGATACTATTGAATGCAATATCTAAGTATCGGCAGATTTTCTTTTTTTTTTTTCAAAGGTTTTGTAATTTGTTTCATTTATTTTTGATCTAGATATAAACACTATGGTTAGCGATATAAATTAATATTATGTGTTTGGAAAACATTAGCTAATTGACAAATTGTTGATACAAGGAGATAGATTGCTTTCATTAACAATTATTTATTAATTTTGTTTGTTTCAGATATATTCGTAGATTATTTTACTCCTTGTTTAACAAAATAAAAACAATAAAATTCACAGCTTTATATTTTAAAAAATTTGAAATATATATTTTTCAAAGTTAATTATCTTAAGTATCAAAATTTGTCTTTAGAGAAAATTTGTAGAGGCCCACTGTACTTGATGATTAATTAAAGGTAATCGCGCATTGTCCATCTCTAAGGTTTAAAAGAGGCTAGTTGAATCTTTGAATACAATAATAGTTTTAAATTATATACAATGGCGGACGAAAGCATTACTCGCATGAATTTGTCAGCTATCAAGAAAATTGATCCATACGCAAAAGAAATCGTCGATTCGTCGTCACATGTTGCTTTTTATACCTTCAATTCGGAGCAAAATGAGTGGGAGAAAACGGATGTTGAAGGCGCTTTTTTTATTTACCACCGCAATGCGGAGCCATTTCACAGCATATTCATTAACAATCGACTAAACACAACGTCATTCGTGGAGCCAATAACTGGCAGCTTGGAGTTGCAATCGCAGCCACCATTTCTGCTATACCGCAACGAACGGTCGCGCATCCGTGGCTTCTGGTTCTACAATAGCGACGAGTGCGATCGCATCAGCAGCCTTGTAAATAGTTTGCTGCTAAACAAAGCAAGTAACGGGCAGCAGCAGCAAACGGCATCAATAGCGTCAGGTTCTAAACCAGCTGGCAGCTCGAGTATATTTAACATGCTCAGCCAGGCGCAAAAGGAATATAATGCCCAGTTAAACAACCAGACGCAGCCTGGACCCACAGTTAATCAGCCCGAAAACGTGACTTCACGTAATGTTATGAAGTTCTTCGAGTCTGCGAAGCAAGCAACAGTGGACTTGCAGTTGAATCGACCGCAGCCTCTTTCGGTAGATCAGCTGGAAAAGCAACAGCGATCTGTGACGCCCATCGAGGCCTCCACAAGAGAAAACGAATTTGTTGGCTCTTCGCAATGTCCATTATCGCCATTTTTAACGGCAACCACATCGTCTGCCGCTCGGAATACAGTGGGCAAACCGAACTCCTTCTTAAGTGAGCTTAAGTTTGATAAAAGTATAGATGAATCACCATCGGGATCGGCATTGATTTCAACTGATGAAGCTGAACAGTGCCTCCGAAGGCTACTCGTCGGTGATAAGCCGGAAGCCAAGCCGGCGCTGATGCCGCCGACAATGTTTGATGTGCCCAGTGTCAAATCGGAGCCAGAGCAACCATATTTTCCACTTAACTCTGCGCAGTTCGTGCAGGCCTTTACTTACCTTATTCAAAACGACAAGGAATTTGTTAATAAGTTGCATAAAGCCTACATCAATGGCTGTTCGAATTCATTGATTGATTCTAATACAACATATCAATAAAAATTGTAATATTTTGTCGATAAAGTTCAAAAGTAAAAAGAAAAGAAGTGACTTTTAATTTTATATATCTTAAGGACACCAGAGAAATAGAAATAGTAAATTGAAGTATCGAAATCATAAATCGATTCTTATAAAAATAGCATTTGTCATATTAACAGTAATCGAATATTGTGTTGTAAAGCGGGGGAAAGAGCTTACATTGGAACTTAAAAGATTTGGTTGAATTTAACAGTCCTATTGGAATTATTATAGTAATTGGAAATATTTTGGAAAGTTTATTATATAGTATAAAAATAAAATACTTCAATTTGTAGGCTTTTTGGAAAGTACAACAATAAGATCAATCAACCAATAAAATGATTGTCGAAGATCACCCTCACATAAATATGGAGCTTTCGTCCAAGACTCAACGCGAAAGCCGCAATTCTCTAATAGTTCCAAAAACATTGTTGCTTCTTCCTCAAACGATGCTTCACGACCATTTCGCTTATTGGAATTATCCAGAAGTGGCCTTAATGGTAAATGCGATGTATTCGTTTCAACATAATGCATATATGGAAGAACTAATGCAATTACAGCGCGTCCTGTCGGAGCTAATGCAGTATGTATATCTTCGAGTAGCTTAAAGGAATCGAAGCAGCGGTCTAGTACATTAAGACATGAAATTAAATTTACATTCTGTAGCTCACGTATTTCAGTAACTACATTAAAATTCAGCTTCTTTAGCCTCTCTCGCATTGTCCAACTGGCTTCAGTGGCAAATACTTGTAAAACAGCATTGCCGCTAAGTTCATTAACACTATTTGCCACACGCAACGAGACTTCCCCGTCACCGGCACCAATATCTAAGAGAGTTATCTAGAATAAACATAGCGGATGTCATTTCGGTCTATACGAGATAAAAGTAGAATTTACCGGTTCGGCTAGAGTTCTTGTTTGAAATCCACCTGCTTCCAGTAGTCTACAGAATTGCTCCTCTGACAAAATGAACATGGAGCCACGTTTTAAAAGTCCATTGATATCGGTCTGTGTCATAAAAAACTGCAGAACGGACCTGGCCAATGCATGCCATAAATGCAACCAAATATTTGAGGACAACATCTTTGTGCGTTCCAGCCATCGTACTGTTGTCGGGTCAGGCTGTTTAAGATCCACAAATTTCGACTGGAATCTTTGAGGTAATTCACAGTTCAATGAATACCACTGGAAATATATATATTATTTTTAGCGTGTATTTAATGAAACTGGCTAAACATGAACTTACCTGTTGTGTGTCTATGTTCTCTAAAAAATTGTCATTATGAAATTTGGCGTAAATAACGCGTGCCAAAGTGCCTCTGGGTCGATAAAGGGCCATCGTAAACTATTTAAACTTTGGCATACATACATCTTACTTTATGCGGAAAGATTATATTATTTATTACATGCTCTCTTAGGAACACGACATGTTTAACTGAGAAACCAATTTTTAATATAACTGTTATCTAGAACATATGTGTACATACAAACATACACACACTCAATGACGACGCTATTTATACATTTTAAAAATAAATGATAATAATATTCTGTTACTAAAAGTCGCAGTTTTCAGTGAAGAGGTTTTATTTAATTAGTAATAGATATATTAAAATATGCATAAACCAAACAAATATATTTAAAATTTTTACTTTTAAAATATGAAAGAATATTTTCAAAGTATTTTTTGTTTTGAGTAAACGCACATCTATACAAAATTTTGTATTAATGCTATCGACTCTAAGTACTCAATTAGTTACTTTGAGATAATAACATATTACAAATATCGATAGTTTGAGTTTATGTTGCTCATCTCTAGTTTGTATATGTAGAATTTAAACTTATGTTAATCAATATAAAATGAGCGTAAACATGTTAGGAAACATAGATGAAAAAAATGTTGTGGTTCCGAACGTAGATGAACTGCCATACTTTCCCGAGAAGTTTCCCGGGAAAGTTTGTTGTCTATGTAACCTTGGGGAGCGAAGCGGTCTTGGTCAAGGGACCATGCTTCAACTAAAAGTTCCTGCGGATCTCAAGGAAAGAAAACCCAATGAAACTGAAAAGGATCAGAGTATTATTCGCATAATGAATTCTTCGCTGAAAAGTAAAAATGTAGGCGGCAATGGTGAGAACACCTATGAGCTGGATAAAATCGGCTACACAGACTTGGTAAATGCTGTGGTGTTCTTTGATGACGAGTTTGTTTACGTACATCGCATGTGCATAATGTGGACTCTGCGTAAAAAAGTTCAGATCAAGGATCCAGATATATTGCAATTCTTAAGCAATTTAAACGAGTATTTGGAGCAGAAATGCAGCTTCTGTGGCCAATACGGAGCGTCCATTACTTGCAAAATGAATTGCCGACAAGTCCATCATTGGCCGTGTGCCGCTGCAGCCGGTTGTTTTCTCATCTTGGAAAGTTTCACTGTATTCTGCACGGAGCATTTGAGTCAGGTGCCATTAATCTGTAAGTTAGGCAAATGCATATAAGAATTACAAATATTTATATTAATTTTTGTGTAATTTTAGGCACTGATAACAATGTTGGATGTTTGACGTGCTCATCATTGGGTGATCTGTCCAAGCTAATAATGTGTTGCTCGTGTGGAGATCATTTTCATTCCACTTGCATTGGACTAGCTAATTTACCTGGTAATTCAATTGATGTTATATAAATTTTGTTTGCATAATATATTACCAGAATAAGTTTAGAAAGAGATTAAATTAATTTATTTAAAAATTTGTTAGATACGAGATCTGGTTGGAGCTGTGCACGCTGTACAAAATGTCAGATTTGTAGACAACAGGAGGCAAATGACATTAAATTCATCAAGTGTGAGCAATGCCAAAAGATCTACCATGCCACTTGCTTACGGCCTGTAATATCTTCGATCCCCAAATATGGCTGGAAATGTAATGTAAGTAAAACATCCGATATTGATCTATATATTTATATAATGAAGTTCTAGCTTAAGCCATGGCAATGTGTGTATCATAGCTATTATTAGAGCACTTTAAATTTTTCTTTCTTTGCATTTAATTGCAGCGATGTCGTGTTTGCACGGACTGTGGATCTCGAACGCCCGGTGGAGGTAGCTCATCTCGCTGGCACAGTCACTATACAATTTGCGATTCGTGCTATCAGCAAAGAAACAAAGGATTTTCCTGCCCAATTTGCCAAAAGGCTTATAGAGCTGCAGCCTACAAGGAAATGGTTAAATGCAGTTGCTGTCACAAGTAAGTGATGAAAATAATATAGCACTAGCACTCTAGCACGTCATTCTTTAAACAACCTTCTTCTTTTCAGGTTTGTTCATAGCACATGTGATGAGGAGGCTGACTTGACTGCATATCACAAAACAAAGGAATATAATCCGGACTATGATTATGTTTGTCCCATTTGTAAAAGTAATTCAGCTGGGGCCAAGATTGTTGATCCGCTCGAACGGTCCCTAGCTGATATGCAGTCTTCAGAGCAGTTTAATATCAAACATGTGGAAATCGAACCATTAAATGGAAAACCGTGCATGGATGTCAACAGTGAAGATCCTCTCAAATTGCCGAATACGAAGAAAAAAGTTTGCCTCACAAATATTCGTGGCAAAGGCGGTAAATTTGTTTTGCACCGCATGGGAGCTATATCGCAGCTAGGGAAGAAGCGCAGCAATAGGGGAAAAGGACGTCAACTTGTTCTTCAAAGCGGTTCCAGCGATCGCTTCATTGGCCGTACCATGGATACAGACCTTTCGAGTGACAAAAAGTTGTTATTGTGTTCGGCACGAGATAAGTTTGTGCTCTCGCAGGACATTTGCGTCATGTGCGGCACTTTGGGCATTGAAAGCGACGCCGTTTTGATCACTTGTGCACAATGTGGCCAATGCTATCATCCTTACTGCGCCAGTGTCAAGCACTCGAGAGGCATGTTGCAGAAGGGTTGGCGTTGCCTGGATTGCACAGTCTGCGAAGGCTGTGGCAAAAAGAATGACGAGGCACGTCTGCTTCTTTGCGATGAATGTGATATCTCGTATCATATATACTGTGTGAATCCGCCCTTGGAGACGGTGCCCCATGGCAATTGGAAATGTTCTTTTTGCACTATCTGTCAGAAGTGTGGCCGGAATCCGACTGAGAAAGTCAACTTCAATGAACCAAGTGCGCCTGAATGCTTGCCGTGCGCCAGCCAAAATAACTGCTTTGTGTGCAAGAAGAGCTACACCGAAGGCGATATGATTATTCAATGTGAGCAATGCGAGCAATGGTCACATTTCTTGTGCGACTCCGTAAACACGCAGCTCACAATGGAATACTATGATAATAATGTGTACAAGTGCATGAAATGTCGCGCCAGCTCGAAAGCGATTTTGCCTGCCAATGCAAATACAAATTTAAATGAGGAGTCTACGGCGGCTGCGAAGCTTTTACCGGACGTGCCTCAAGAAGGAAAGGCGATGGGCGTCGCGGATCGGAATATTCGTTTGCCAAACGAACTGTTGGAGAGCACAGAAGCTATTCATTGGATAGATGGAGTGTGCCTGAGTGAAAATGGATTGAATATGATCAAATCACTGTCCACCGAAATTAAGCGGAAAAGAAAAATGCGTCAACCTATGGGTAATTCGAAAGATCCGCAAAACGAAAGTGCAATCTCTGATGATGTGCAAGGTGATAAATATAAGGACGGTATGATTTGGGACAGAACAGAAACTGCAATACCGGAAGGCTTTTCCATTTCCACCAACGATGATGGTGTCCATGTTCTACGCAAAAAACGACAGCGTAATCTGCAGAAGCTGGGCATTGGTGGATTTTCTGTTCGAAATCGGGCACTCAAGAAAGATAATGACGATACGATGGATCAACTGAATGCCATGTTAGTCGCTGACAAGAAGAAGAAAATAATACGCAAAAAACAAAAGAACAAAATCATCGAGGCGTATCCGCAATATTTACAAGAAGCTTTCTTCGGGAAACCTCTTTTAGAATCTAACGAAGCCGTGCAATACGATTCTGAATCTTCCGATGAAATCGGATCCGCAGTGAAAATGTACTTTACTCCCACAAGCGAAAAAGTCCCTGACAATGATGTTGCTAATAAGAGCCCAGCGAAGTCAGTTAAGAGCGTGAAAGTTGAGAAAACTTTCAACGAAAACAAAAACGTATTCGCCAATCAATTCCCAACAGCGACGCAACAAAATAAAAAGCTAGTAACTAGTGGAGCGATGATTGGTAGGTTTTTGAAAGCGCAGAAGTACTTCTTAATACAATAAACTCTTTATTTTTTATTCAGATTCTAATATGTCAGATATATCAAGGAATGCTGCGGCGCCCAACATGGTGCATTCTATGGATACTTTGGTAAGTATATTTAAAATATTAAATTTCATTGTTTCTAATTACCCTTCTCAGACAACACAGGGCATACCGGAGTTAGATGAAATTAATGCTTCAATCAATTATATAGCATCAAATGATAATACAAAGTCAACAATGAGGTAAACTATAATAATGTCTTATTCTTAATTACAAAATTATAATTTTATAATTGACTTTTAGTGAGCCACCACTTCTAGTGGAGAATTACGCGGTGTCCCCACAATTGGGACACGACCAAAAGTTCCAAAACAAAATGCCACAAAATATAACTAATAAGCCGCCACAGCTTCAATATCAGGCGAAAACGCAAACTATCACAACGCAACTTCCTCTACAAACTGAGAAAAGGGTTGAAGAAGTTAAACCTAGCGAGCCCACTGAGTGCATAAATGTTGGAACACAGAAGACGGCTGAAAAAATGCGAAAAGATGAAGGTAAATATAAAAGGAGCTTATAAAATTTAATACAAATAAAACAACAATACTTTTTATAGATCTTGGACTTATGGCAACGATTTCGGCAGTGTTGTACGCTAATACAGAGCATGCAAATTTGAAAGAGTCTTATCCTAATTGGACTGATCGCTGCAAGCAGATTTTAAAGAGGTGGCGATCCCTATGTAATGAGAAAAAAGCGCCGTTCTTACAAAAAGCAAAAGACAATCGGTCTGCATTGCGACAGAGGCGCGAGCAATGCAAAGTTACCCAGCCTCCTAAGCTGGAAAAGCAGGATGATGGACGCGCTTGGAAAAATCAGCCCTGTAAGCCAAAGGAAGATCAATCAAACATGTTTGGTAATAGCAATTATTGTAAATATATATTCATATTATTAATTTTTATAAGTAAGTTTTTCAAAAAATTAGAAATCTTAATATTTCCATTTCCAATCACAGGAGCTCAAAATATATTTAATATATAAACAATTTTTTTTTGTTTATAGGTGGAGTTTCCTACGAAGCACCATGCTATATTGGATCTTCTATGCAAGCCACCAATTCCCATCAACAAATGGTAATCTCTAATGAGAATCTGGTAGTTAAATCTACAATCCAAAGGACAACTATGCATGCAGGCTCACCATCCATATCAAAAATGTCTTCTGTTGACAATCGAATGGAGCATACGACAACATTTGAGTCTGAACCAGTTGGAGACAAAAAGCTGAGAAATTTATTACAAAAAAATAGTTCCGATGCGGTCCTAATGAATTCCAACTCTGAATACTTTATGCAAAATGATGTCTTGAGACTTGGCCTGATGCAAAATGCCGCTTTAACACAGAATAATCCAATGTTAAGCATGAGTGGAAATCCTCAACATACTGACATTAGAGGATTAGAGCACGATGGAAAAGCTCAGCTTGATATGAAAATAACGGAATCACAGGAAGGCATTTCGTCCTCGGCAGTAGAATTAGAAAATGTTGGATTTGGAGATATTTTAGGCGGATTCGGTGAGGGCGATGATGATGACTTGCTTAAATCCCTAACTTCAGAAATTGGTGATGATTTTAATATATTGGAATATGCGGATCCAGAACTCGATGTTAATGTTCTTAATACTTTGGACTTCGACGATACAGAGAAAAACTCTACGTGAACATGAATACATCTAGTTGTTCTTAGACAATAACTACTCTATCAACTTATTTTATTAACGATTGTAAAAATTAATGCAGACAGCATTTTTTAGCCCTTTAAGAATATAATAATTTTAAGACTTCCTTTTTTTTGTAAGGTTGCTGATATATGTGTGTTGTTGTTGTAGTAAGCAAATGTAACAATTAATTAAAAGGTACATATGTATATTCAATCTTTACAATTTGTACCTTAAAAATAAATTTATATTTATATTTATACTTTATATTTATTTGGCGTTATTAAAGAAAAGCACCCCTAACTATATAGACTTATTAGCTATAATTGGCAACGTATATTCAGTATGAGAAATTAGAATGACCTCTTCAATTCAGAAATAGCATCATAGCTAATATCATCAGCATTATAAAATCGCATCAACCGCGATTCAATAGTGAAAACATACATTTTAGCTTTCCAACAAAAATACATATATCGATTACTAATTATCGGTTTCATGATTAAAAAAGCTAAATTTAGCTTTCTCATATATCATAATCCTATCACGAAAGAAAATTATATATATGTATATGGCTTACAGAATTTCTGCTTGCTTATTTATATTTATATATTATAATATTTTTGCGATTTGACTCAATACCAAATTTATTGAGAATCTAAAATAAATTTTACTAGTGCAAACTTAAAGCTTGACGCTCGTCTAAAAATTAAAATTGGAGAGATGGGCAGACATGAATTATTGTAAAATATAATGGGAAAATTAATAACAAATTTTCTTAAAGTGCCAAAAATAGCCAACAAGAGAATAAACTTAAATCACTGACCATAGAAATGTTATTGGTATAAATAGCAAGCTCTGAATTTTGGCGCAGTTACTATTGTATGCTTTTAAAAGTACTAGTTACACTTTGAGTACTTGCTACTGGAATGGTTTCAGTTTGCTCATCTCTGGTGTGCAGTTAATTCTTTTGGATCGACATCGTTGCGGCGTGCTCTTCGTTCTAACTTTTGTCTAGAGGTATGTCTGCTTTATAATTACATTATTTTTAAAATAAGAATGGTTTTGCGTGTCTATTAAAAAAAAAAAGTTCTATTTTATGTTGAAACAATATAAATGGCTGTTAAGCTGACCGGTAGACGAAAAAATGCAGTATAAATTCTCAGTACAAAGCACACGTGCTTTAGTGCTTAGGAATGTGCGTTGTGTATATGTATGTATGTATGTTGTATATGCATTAGGCTTTTTTTTTTTCTCAGTAAACGCAAGTCGTAAATTCATGTTTTATTATGTTGCTGAATTCTTTTGATGATTTTTTAAGCTTCATATAGTTTTATGTTGTTTATCTTGTAATATGTGAATGTTGATTTATGAATATAAGCGATTTGAAAGCTAAAAACGCAATTTATATTAACAAACATGTGTATACGCGTTTCAGAACCTCATTTTTATTCAGAATGGATGCGCCACAGGAAGGACATGTAGACGCCGAGTCGTGCAATGAAGTCGACGATGATAAGTCAAATTCCGACTGTCAATCCATGTAATTAAAAATATTTTTTGTTGCTTTTGCCCACTTTTCTGAATATTTACATTTTGAATTGTGCTCTACGACAGGCCAGCATATATGAATTCAGTGTTACGGCGACAGTTTTTGCAAGAAATGGTGAAATCGTTGCCCGAGAGTGTTCAGAAACGGATCATTGTTCTGAAGAATATGCAGTTGGATCAGTTGCAAATTGAAGCAAAATTTTTTGAGGAAGTTTACAATTTGGAGAAAAAGTATCAGTTGAGCTATCAACCCCTTTTGGACAAACGCAGGGAGATCATTACCGGCAAACTAGACCCTGCGGAAGAGAAACCAAAGTGGAAGGAACCAGAAGCTTTACCCATCGAAGGGGATGCCAGCGATGCATTCCGTGAATCTCTTAAGAGTATAAAAGCAATGCCCCAGGATGTAGCTGGAATCCCAGATTTCTGGCTTACAGTGTTCAGAAACACAGGAATGTTGTCTGAAATGGTGCAGACTCACGATGAGCCGGCTATTCGCCATCTTACCGACATTACAATTAAATATGATGATGAAGTACGTAGATCACTTAATATTAACTTGAGCATCTTAAGTAAGGTGTGGTATACTATTTGTTAACTGATTTTGTTTTTATACTTCCAGCATTCTTATACTTTAGCTTTTCATTTCGATAAAAATGAATTCTTTTCGAACACTGTACTAACGAAGCAATACTTCCTTAAGTCGACGGTCGATCTTGAAGATCCATTTGCCTTCGAGGGTCCGGAAATTTATAAATGCAAAGGTTGCGTTATTAATTGGGAGAAGAAAATGAACTTGACTGTTAAGACTATTCGCAAGAAACAGAAGCACAAGGAGCGCGGTGCTGTGCGCACCATTGTTAAACAAGTTCCCACAGACTCGTTTTTCAATTTCTTTAATCCACCAGAAGTTTCGGAAGACAAGGAAGACATCGATGATGAGTCACAGCAAGTAAGTTTTGGATTTTTCTTTAACTTATTTTTTATGAATAGTTTTTAACTTTTCATTCATCTGCAGATTTTGGCCACTGATTTCGAAATCGGTCACTTTTTACGTGCTAGAATTATTCCAAAAGCTGTGCTTTATTTCACGGGTGACATTGTTGATGATGAGGATGATGAAGATGAAGAGGAGTTCGAAAACGAAGACGACGAGTATGACGACGATGAGAACGAGGGTCAAACCAAGTCCAGCAAAAAACAGTCTCCAAACGATTGTCCCAATCAGTAGAACATAACGAAAATAATGAATATTCAACTGTAAGAGTTGTGTATAATAAGTATACATTAAAATATATTTTTGGTGAATTCAAACTTCGAGAAATGTGTTTATCTTTGAATTCATTTTTTAGTTACATAGTGAAAATTACGAATGGGCGTAGTCTTATTGCTTTATGATGCGCTAAAATTCTCAAAGTTGGACAGGGAGGAAACACCAGTTGAAAGAAAGGCAGAAAGGAAATGCAAATGAGGAACTGTAGGTTCAGTACGAACTATGGTTAGATCATCAATTCCTTACTTTGCGTAAATACCAGTTTTATGTGTGTGTATTTAAAAATTCAATACGAATTCACATAACTAATTAAAATCAATTATTTCGGTGAGCTTAATTATGAGTTTCGTGCTGACGCTTCGCCCATAATTTTACGTCAGCAAAATGTTGCAGACACTGAATACAAATTGAATAATTGAATTTACATAATATATGTATTTTGTTTTGTTTTTTTTTTTTTTTTTTTATATGAAAAGCCTATGTGCACAGTACATTATGATGCCTCTACTAAATATTTATATTCTTCTGTATCTATATAATGAAAATTCCGAAAAGTTAAGCAGAAAAATGACAGTTTGAACCACAAAGTTGGCTGGATATTGAGTAACTCCCGTGAGACTCGATTATTTTAACGACTCTTCACTGATACTAGTTCCCCTAAAAAGGTAAAAAGTCCCAGAGAAAGATTTCTCTTATTTGTATTGTACATTATTTGTTTTTATTTTTTTTTTTGTTATTTACTTAGTTGAATATAAAGAATATTTATAATGAAATATTCTTGTGGATATTCAAATTTATACTTGTTTATTATAATAACTTGTTGTGGTTTTACTTCAAAAGTTCATTCAACGAGATTTATTGATCTTATTAATGCTTTCGGTATAAATAACGAAACAACATGTATGTATAATTTGATATTTCGTATAGCATGCTATTAAATAAGCTATAAATTCTTAAGTTTATCAAGAAAGATCTTTACGACTTGATGTCCGCAGCACTTTGACAGTACAGTTTTATAAGTAAGTAAAAATTGCTCTAGATATTTAATTGAAAATACGAATTGTTTAAGTATGAGAAAGTTTGTTATCAAATTTGGACATTTGTTTAACACTAATTGTAATTGTTGCAAGCAAATTCCATTTAGAATAAATAATTTTCTTAATATAGCACTAGCTGAAGGGGCGTGGCATGCTATTATGGAACACCCTATACATAATATAGGTCAACACTAAGCCAGCTGCAAGGATAGATATTGGAACTTGTACCGAAGCGAATAATAGACATTTCTAAATGTATTTTAATACACTATATAGAGAAAAAAATTATTATTTATAAGCAATATAAAATATTTTCAATTTGCTTTTAGAAACAATACAAAAACGTTGGAGACTCCGGTGCCATTGAATGAATTCAATCTGGCCAATTCTGGATGTTTGCCTGCAGAGAAATTCTCTATTGTGCTCCATGGCTGGATTCAAAGTTGCTCCGATGAGTGGGCAATTGAGCTGATCGAAAGTAAGTTTTTACTTTTAATACATTTTTGTCTCTTTTTAATGATGTTTCCCATTTGCAGGATTAAGTTTCTACCGCAGAGGCTGCGTCATATGCATCGATTATAGTACGGCCGCCAGCTCATCCTATATGAGGTATGTATTTAATTAACTAATTTAAAATAAATCAGATACTAAATATTTGTATACCTTTTTAGATTATATTCCAATTTCGATCACATAACCGAGGTGATTGTCTCCGTACTAGTATCTCTCTTTCGATATGGCTTCGATCCGAGTCGTGGATTCATGTTTGGCTTCAGCTTTGGCGGACAGTTGGCATCAGCTGTGGGTCGCGCACTGCAGCCCCATTTTACGCTGCAAAATATAGATAGTAATTAGATTCGATATAAAGTTATATACCTCTAGTAATACTGTTAATTTTTCAGCTTGTGACATGGCTGGTCCCGGCTTCGATCCCATTGACGTCGATCACTCGAAGGCCGCACGGCATGTGCAATGCTTTCACTCAAGCCGCGATAAGGGAACTTTCATCTATTCCTGCCATCGGAATATCATGCTAGGCAGCTGTGGACTTAGTCAGCCATCGATCGCAAGTCAATCTCATCTGGGTAGCCATGGACTGTGCGTTGATATCTATATAAATACGTTCGATTATCCATTCTATGCATTGAGCACGCCACCCAGTGAGTGCTTAACATTCTCCAAGGTGGCCAAGATACCGAATCACTATACAGTGGGTTTTGAGGAGGATTTCAATAAGTAAGGAGTATTCCCTTTAAAGGGCATATCATATATAGTACGTATGCATAATAATAGCTTCATTTCCTTGCAGGCAAATAACTGGAAAGGTTTATGTTCCCACAAGCCTACATTATCCCTACAACTTATCCAAAAGAGAACTTCGATTTCTTTTTGGCAAGAATTAATGATGGAAAGACAACGTAGATTATATGAATTATATATAATACATATATGTTATATATTTATTTATTTATATTGGATCTAAGTCATAATATACAGATGATCAACACTAAAATCAAAATGATGTAAATGTTATTTTCTACAGCTTTTTTATATTTATATAGCTATTTTCCATTTAATGAATTCATAGATAGTATATCTCCATAATCCATTTAATAAAAAAATCATTTTTTTTTTATTTATTGTTACAATTTTTGATATTTTATTTACGTAAAAATAAAATATTTGGACATATGATTTAATATAACAAATTAATAATAACCTTCATTTAAAAATTTGATTGATTCTTAAACTTGTCTAATGTTGCGAACTCTTAAACGTCGGGCGATTAATGCCCTTTAAGAGTAAATTGTTATAACCTCACGACCTCCTCCACGAACCATTAATACTTTTTCAAGTCCTTCTGTTAAAACTTCCAGGAATTCCATATCTAAAATGAAATTGATCACACAAAATCAATAAATACTTATAGATAGGTTAAGATCTGTTACTTACAATTGCTTTCACGTTCCGCTCTGACTTCCCTCGGAGGACCCGGTAAATTCATGATGACCAATTGGGCATCTTGAGACTTTTCTAATATAACCTCATTTAGTTTTATTGCCGTGTGCATGCGACGAACATTGAATTCGTCTCTGTAAGAGAACAAGTTTAGTAAATCGAAGAAAATTTCGATAAACCACAGATCTTACGGCTTAATGCTGGATTTGGCGTTATCACCAGCTTTTTCTGTTGACTCATCTTTGTTGGATGTGACATCAAGCGCCTCCGTGCTCCCTGGACCATCTGAGTCTATAGAATTGCGTTTCTCTTCGCTTAAAGTATCCTATAGAGGAGTATGTAAAATATAAATATTAAATTATTGTGAATTAGCTCAAAATTCGATAAATCGATTTGAATAACAATTAAAAGAAAATACAAAATATATGTATATGTAAAAAATTAAAATAAAAATTCAATAATAGGGTATACATAATTAAAGAAAATTAAAAAAAAATATATATAAAAATGTTTTAAATATTTAAGTATATATTTATATATTTTTTTTATATACATAATTGTTTCTGTTTACCATTCGACCATTTTTAAGCTTAAACTTTTTTTTAAAACTAATTTATTTTAGCTCTAGTCTAATATTTCATATTCGAAAGCATACATACGTGATTTTGTGTTTCTCCACTGGTAGGTTCGGCAAACCGAACCCGCGACGCTGTTTTTATGGCGTCATAATGGTGGTCTACAATTGTTTGTACCTGGAAATGCATAAGGTTTTTACATACTTATCTAATTCATATGATTCTTAGCTCTTATATTGGCAAATGTCTAATTTGTCTACCAACAGCAAATCCATGGTCCTTAAATGTTAATTTTACATATTTTGGATAGTATATATATGGATTTTTGTATCAATTCTTATGAATACGAAATTTCACTTTTTTTCGAATAAAAATTCGAAATATAATAATATTTCAACTTCAAGTAGAGTTTGTCTTGAGTAAAGTGGTCCAAGAAAACGGCTTGCTTGTGTTTATAATGTTAATCTTGAATCGGACTTGATGTTAAGTATTTGTTTGTAGGTTTATATCTCAAATTCTCAGCATTTACATTGGTTCATAAATAAGGTTACATGATAAACCTATTCCCCAACCCATATGTAGATCGTGCAGAACACATTCGCTAGCTCCGCTCAGCATCTGGTCCCACTTTAGAAGGCCTGTCTTAAAGGCGAAAGATTGTGACATAAGAAGAGCATTATGCAGTCGGTTATAGCCGACATTTTATATATGATATGTATAGTATCAGGAAGTACAAAGCATGCAATATATTGAAATATTTGTATATTCTTGACATTTAGAAAGGATATTTTTAAGCAAATATATATATGTAGGTTAATAATATCGTTAGACGCCTTTCTTATTTTATTGAAAATAACTTCAATTCCCAATTAATGTGGATGTGAATAACCTGCCAAGCTTAATGATATAATTATATGCAATTGGGCTGAAGGATTTTTCTGCCTTGCAATTGATAAACCTTAAATTTAGAAAGCTGTGCGAAAGTTAACTGAAGTAAAAGGAAACAATGCATATAAAACGTGTTTCCTATTAAATCTATTTATATATCTTTTCATCTTTAACAAGGCTAAATAATGAAGCTCACTTTTTTTTTTCAAAATACTTAATGGAATAGGGTAGGAGGGAAAAAAGAGCAAGAGGAGGCGGAGGAAAAGCAGTGGATGGAGGAAACGTAGACATATGGTAAGAGGAGGAAAAATAGGAGGTGGAGCAGAAGAGTAGAAATATGAGGAGTAGGAGTAGGTGAAGTAGGTGTAGAAGTATGAGTTTATTGGAGTAGCGGCAGGCGGTAGATGAGAAATAGGAGTAGCAATAAAAATAGAAGCAGAAGAGGTAAAAGACTAGTAGGAGGAGAAGTCGAAGTATGGGGAAGGGAGTTAAATTTTATAGAGGCGTCGGAGTATACATCCGTGTTGAAAGAGGAGAAGGAGCTTGAGCTTGACATCGACATACATAGAAGTTGAGGATATACCAAAGACTGTTTCAGCTCTAAGCAATTCAACACATTTCTTAACGAAAATTATAAGAATATCCTTAGTCTAAGCATAGGCAAACGCACATCTAGAACATATACAGAATACATACATTCACATACATATGTAAATGGAAAATGGAAAAATGAGATGGATGAAAAACATCAACTTACATCTATAGGATAATGAATTATGTAAGTAGACCTATGTTGGAATGTATGTAAGCATACTACATACATTAATACATAGATGAGATATGTAATGTGATGAATTATGGACTTTGTAAAAGTGAAGTTTATGAAACGAGCTAATGATATACATTAATATTGGATATAACTATAATAGCTATTTTTGTTTTTTTATATAACTGTATATGAGAATAATTTTGATCTTGATACAACTCTTAATTCTGTTTGGAGGCTTTACCAAAGATAACTTATTATCACTGGGTGTTTCCTTAAATTCCATTATAGTTTGAGCCTTTGATCAAATATACAAAGTTTGAAATTTTTATTTATCTTAATAGCTGTCAAAGGTTTTTCACAAACTGAAAAACGACTAATAACTGAAATCTTGTAATAAATCAGGGAAAAATATTTATATATAAATTAATAAAAAAATAAAGAAAAATAAACAAAAACAAGGAAAACCAAAACTATTTTCAGGATCGTACATAATATTTGCATTGCTTGGGAAGTAGCTCGAAATACCCTTAATGTTCCACTTACCACTTTGGAATTTTCTTTTTTGTTTAAGCCTAATTGCTTAAGCATTTGATTGCGCTGTTCCATCATGAGAGTTCTCTCATAGGTATAGGCTGAAATGTCGCTATTATTCTGAAATCAAAGAGCAATGCAATAGAAATAAAGATAAAGAGAGAGAGAGAGAGAGGAAGGCCAAGTCGCTTTCGGCTGTTTACCATTTCAACGACTTCAACGTCTGCTTCGATTCGTAAGTGATACAAGAATGTCTTCAAATCTTTCTTCATTTGGATCGAATTGTCTTCGATTTGAGCAACAGTGAAAATGCGTAGCTTGCAATTGCGCCAAGTGCGGTGCTGCTTAAGCAGGAATGGCAGTAGCATGAGTAGGCCACCATCGTGGACGATCCACCAAATATCAATATTACCACCAATCTACAAAAACATATAACAGTCAATGAACTATCCACAATATATCTCTTTAGACAGTTACTTTGTGATTGGATTCTGGGTAAAAGTTAATTCCCTTGGGGACAATCAGCGCCATGTGGCAAGCGGCGACAGTTCGCACCGTTTGAATGAACGTCTTCCAGCTATATCGGCCCTCTTGCCTCCAGCTATAAGGCCAACCAATGATAACGGTATTCGGCTTCATGCCACCCAATCCAATCGTTTGTATGCTAAAAAAAAACGGGAATTTCAATTAATTATTTTAAACATTAATTAAACATTTTGTACTTACACTGAACTGAGACCTTCGCTAATTTCCTGAGCCACTAGAACATCGCAAAATCCTTTAACCTTCTCATCTGTCATGTACTTGCGCAGCGTATTCTTCGCATCGACTGCTTTGTTCGAAATTTTTGTGTGATCACCTTTTATCACAGATACACAAATTGTTAGGCCCTTGCCAGCCTTCAGCTGCGTGGCAAAGGAGAATATTTTCCTATACTTTGGTATGAGGTTATCGTTCAGCTTGGCTAGAACCAGAATCTGTGGCCGCCAATTTTTCGTATGCGGCGGACCCTCCTCCAAGCGCTGCAGTGAGTATCTGGCCGCTGTCAGTGCCATGCCTCGAATACCATCGCCCCATTCCTTCTCGGCACTGTGAGCAAATGTTAAATGATAAATAATGATGATTCAATGTCCATATTTATCGCGGGCTTACCCTCGATATTCGATGTATTTGTATATGATGATTGCCATGCTAAGGGCAATCAGTGCGAAGTACCACGAAGTCATTATCATAACTGATATGCACAGGGTAAGACCTATCAAGGACAAGCTCCAATGATAGAACTTAAAGCGAGGTCTCCAGTTCGGCGTACGCAGCAAAGTCTGCACGGCACAGGCCAAGTTAACGAAGCCATAGCACATGAGGAAAAACATGGACAGAAGTGGGGCAAGCAGATCGACATTTCCTACGAATAGTATATAGAATATATATAGGGCCTGGTAAGGTTCTTCCTGAATCGTATACCTAGCAAAATTCCACATTGACAAATGACAAGCGTTAGCAGCAGAGCTCTCACTGGCTCGCCTCTCTTGGATGACTTAGCGAACGGCGCCAGGAAGGGTATAATCTCATCTTTGGCGATTGCCTGCAGCAAACGTGGAGCGCCCGTCAAGCTCTGCAGGCCGGCGCCAAGTGTCGATAAGAACGAACCGATTAGGATAACCCATTGATTGGGCCACGCAATGTTGGCCACAACTAATTTTCCACCAATTGACTGACCAAATCTGAAATTAAATTTCATTTATATATATTATGTATTATTATACAAATTTCAATTATTGTAGATCTCACTTATCGCGCAGCAGCAAATTGTCCACGGTGCCAGCAAAGAGCAAAACGCTGGACAAGTAAACGGTGCTGGTAGTTAAGATAGCGCAAATTGTGCCAATGGGTATGCTCTTCTGGGCGTCAGCCAGATCTCCAGATCGATTCGAGCCAGCCATAATGCCTATTGCAAATTTCGTATATTAATATTATCTATATCTTGGATTCTTCGATTCCCTATTTCACCTGTCACCGATGGGAAAAAGATGCCGATGAGCAGCGTAAAGGACGTTGTTATGTCTGCCATAATCTGATTGTACGACTGACTGCCAATATTTTCCACATCCACCGAGTTGCGACCGTACGATATAAATTGACCAGTTTCCAAGAACGAAGGCATTATATTGTCATAGAATACGCCGCTGGCCAGACCCTTGATACCCTTGACTCTAGTCACATTGTTATCTACATAATCAGAATATTCTATTAAGAGAGCTCAAAATCGAACAGAAATATCCGTGAAATTACTTTGGTAGTATTCGTCGCATTTGCGATCTGGGCAATATAGATCGTATAGCAACGGATCCTCCTTTGTGCAGTTCTCAATGGGTATATCCTTCAGCAGACGTTTGCCAAGCACACAAAGACTGTTAAATAACAAAATTTAATATAAATAAAAAGTTATCAATTTACTTTTTTCATCTCAACAAAACTTACTATAACTTTTCATTGCCATGAATATTATCGAAGATTCCAATATAGACAGCTATTATGGAGAATATGACACAGGCCAGGGCAACGGTTGCGAATTTGTTGACAAATTTAACACCCAGGAAAACGATTAAACCTAAGGCAAAAGAGAATTTTAAATAATTTCTGACTGATACTCAGAGATTTGCCGAACTTACCCATGAATAGAAGGAGCATTGTGCCATATACTCTAAAGTTATTGTACATGGCTTCGGCGTCCTTTGTGAAATCTCCAAATATGGATGCCCACGGTGCCATATATGTCTATTATTTGACATATATAAATATAAGTAATTACTAATTGTATATTTTTGTATTTTAAATAATTTCTTACCAGGACAATTTCTACAGCGCCCACAATGTACATTGCAGCCGCCAACGTTGTCCCCGTATAAAATAGCATTCCGACAGCACCGCCAAATTCAGGACCAAGTGACCTAAATACATATGAATATTACAAGAATGCAAATCATACAAGTTATAAATGGAATTAAATCATAAAGGAATAGACTTTAACTTTACATCAGTCACATATGAATAGATCATAGATCATATTTGCATAGTATAGATCAATTTTCTTCTGGGTTCAATCAAAGTTATGTAATCAGCTTTAAACTCTCAATCATATAAACGACAAGCTGATGATGTCACATATTAATTATACATGTATTTTATTTGGTTTTTATCATTTTATTATCATATCTATAAATCTTTACCGTGATATCATAAAGTAGCTCCCTCCTGCCGGCACAACTCCATTCGTTGCAATGGCGGACATAGATATCGCAGTTAGCATTGTCTGAAATAGTGAAATAATTCTCATTAGTACATATTTGATATAAGAAATGTGTTAGATAGTATAGAATTGTAGAAATTACCACACAACAGCAGGTGAGCACAATTAAGAATCCACAAACAGCGCCAGCCGTACCAACAACCCATGTTAATCGAATAAATAATATTACACCAAAGATATTTTGAATACACGGCAAGAAGACTCCAATAAGGGTTCCTAAAGAACGAGAATAAAATTTAAAAAAATTGTAGTAAACGCAAAATTATGTATATTAAGTTATAGAACATTAAATATTTTATATCAATTTTTCACTTTGTTAGATTTTTTAGAAAGCCCTATCAAAACAAAATGTATATTTTATATACAAATACATATTTAATTTTCTATCTTTAATTTATTCAACTCTTCAAACTACCCTCGCAATTGCTTACAGCATTACTAAATATTTTTGGCGCAGCTCAATATATATAGATTTTTTTTGGAGAAACTAATTAATTAATCAAGATAAACAATGTGAAATATTTTATTGTTTTCTTTCGACTCCGTTTGGACGAGGTCTATTCTTAGATGCCGAAAACTTGGTTTCTTATAGAAATTTATGAATGGGATCGGTAATCAAGCATGAAAGAATCAGTTGCAAATTTTCTAAAGTTTTAGGCCCATTGGAAATGCTAATGCAAAGTAGTTAAGTGATGAATTAGTTTATAAAACAACTTTCTTTATTCATTTCGTATCTGCAGCTGGGCAGTTTCTTTTGTTCGTTGCCAGAAAATCGCAATTTTGTTGACTTTTATCTGATGCCAATTGACCTTATCGAGTGTGCATCCACAGCAAGGCTCGAAATTTCATTAAAGCTTAATTTCAATTGATGAACTGTTTTCATTAATGTTTAATGAAGTTTAATGGCCGATGAGGAGTTGTTTGCTGGTTGAATACCAATTTTTTTAATTTAAAAAAAGCTATAGATTCTATAAACAAAATCCAATAAGAAAACGTTGGTATAGTTTAATTGAAAATAGTACTAAAATTATTTTTGTATGTTATATTAAATATAGTTAATTTCCTTTTGGATATATATATATTTTTCAATAAATTTCTCTGCTCTTTCGAGTATGTAATAAGTGGAAGTGCTTCAGAGTCTTGGTGAAAATTCTTTTTGATTTATTTCTTTACTTATATATACATGAGCATTCAAAACAAAACACTTCATGCATTGATTTAAGCCTACGCAGCGTAAAATGTCCTATTGTCAGCTATCAAGAGATACTTCTTCTCGGTGTGGAATCAATAAACAAATCGAGGAGATATAACCGCACTTCACCAGATTTCAAGCTATTTGCATGCAGAATAATAAATGGAATTGGAAGTTTCGATTAAACATACCCATGCGTGCTGATGGCGGTGGTGGCTTTGCATCTGGGTCGGTTGCCGCTGGTATCGTGTTTTCATAATTGGCAATTGATGAAATGAATGTTGAAATATGCGGCCTCGTCTCCAAATCATCGTCATAGAGGTACAAATTGGGATCGATAGTAGATTTCTGATTTTCTTCGACATTGTGTACATCTCGAGTATCTGAAAGGTAGACAATTTTTAGATATTTAGCTATATCTTAGATGCAAAATCTGTTGAATTGGGGACATGTTATATGAGTCAACTTTTAAAGCAATTCAGAGTTCTTTAGTCAGAGCTGATTGACTTAGAGAACCTCTATGCTGATTGCTGACATTATCAAGGGCCAGGACGTGGTTTTAGTATTTTTGTAAAAATAAATAAAGCTATTATATAGTATAATAGAGGTTATATATTTATAATGTAAGCCATTAACATTTGCTTTGTATATCAATCCATTCATACTGTTAAACAGACTATTGTCAGATTAGATAAGATTGGATTGCCTGAGTACTTCGCTTTACTCGACATTAACCACGCCCAGTTTGGCCTGTTTTAGCCACACTTTTAATTTGAATTTAAAAATTGAGTATGGACTATCAATTATGAATTAAAAATTTCTTTTTAAAAACTCAAAATATTTTTCTCTAATTAATTTATATTTTTGATCACTTTTTAACATACTTAAAATGTAGATTACTGTATGCTTAGCACACCCTTTCAAAAGTTTTTCCAGCCTGAGCCAATATAAAAACTTCAACACAAAACGAGCGAAACCCCCTATCACATTTGATATGTAGGCGCTCATAAAGTTTGCACAGATTATGAATATTTAACATTGTTATACCTTTTCCAGACTCCACAAAATTAAATAAAAAATTCATTTCAAATAGCAAAGAGTTAAACCTTGATGGAGGATTTGATTAAATCATAGCAGGCTTTTTAGACACACATTTGGTATAGCTAGGGGCTGTTGGGGCTAAAAGACCTTTCGCTGGAATACTTCAGATATATTTTATTTCAAGTTCTTAAAAATAGTATTGTACTGTACATTCTCATTCGAATTATTGTTTCAAATAATTTAATTTACGTAAATATTCTTTGTACTCAAAAGCAATTTCGTTAGAATTCTAACGAAACTAGCTTTATAGGCATTGTAGCAAGCCTGCTAAAAGAATTTGAATGGCATGAAGTGCCCCATTTTTAGAGGTAGGCAAACCACCCACGAGTTGTACATACCTTGAAAATACCTTTACACAAGGCACTCAAACATATGCGCACAATCACACAAATTGGAATCGGCCTGGCTACTTTTTCTCTGCCCCATAGCAGAGCTTTGTAAAAAGGTATTTTTTGGAATAAAAGTTTAGATAATAATTAAATATATTTATAATTCAATTTAGACCATTTTTGCATAGTCTCAATCACTGTTAAAGTTATGTAGGTCAAAAACTCAGCTCTTGAACTGATTGCTCCAAATATAGATTCCAAATTCATTTCAGATATTCAGCCATATACCAGAAAGATATTTGCTTAAATAGGTATATATTTGAAACCCCATCATTTGAGTATACTCATCTCTTGCTTATTCATTCATTCATTCTGATATGCATTCATAAGTTTTAATATACCCGAAAGATATTTGATATTTGCTTGATACACATTTTCGAAAACTCATCCCAGATATTCGCTGAATATACTTTTCTCTTCACTTGATGTATTCATACCTGATTGTTTACTTTCGAGCTTAGTTCCATTGTGCTCCGATGGCGTAATATTCATTTCGTCGGCATCTTCTTTTTCACTATTACATTGCATGTTATCGCTTAATGTAAGTCAAGTACCACTCCCAGATCACGATTGTCACTTAAAATTAGCTAACACTTTGGTTTTTCTAGGTCATAGTTCATACAACATTTAAATAGCTAAACATATGAAAAATGAGAAATTGAGGCGCAAAACTCTGGCTTTAAACTAACTTTTCATTTTTGCAAAAAAATAAAAAAAAAATAATAAGAAAGTAAAAATTAGGTCAATAATAATGGGCCTATCAGGGCCGCAACCACACACACGCACGCACACGCACACATTGGCATATACATATCAGCATCTGAGCCAATAATCAATGTAAAACTAATTTTTTAAAATACTTGAGTTAGTCATTTGTTGAAAACTTGGTCAGAATTTTGCACTTTTCAATTGGTAATGAACAAACAAAAATTCCAACTCAATTAAAGCAAATTTACTCTGAGAATGAACCTGAGATTCTTTTTATATAACTTTACACGTTGCAATCTCGTTTAATTGAAGCTTTGCATAAATTTGTGGTTTGTTTTAGATTTTTTATAAATTGAAAATTGCTTAAAATTGTACTAGTTGTTAAATGGGTTTATAGAAAAAATTAAGAAAACGGTTTGTATGCGACCGAATAAAAATTATGTTGCCCAGGACTCTGAGCAATAAAATTGAGATGAAAACGAAAGCTTTTATCTGCACAAGAATTTCACCCCAGAATTCCGAGGACAGCCCTGGGAGAGCGAGAGTGAGAGGTCCACTTCCAGATACTCACGCGTGCGGGTCTGTATTTATTTGTTTGTCCTAGGCAAAGCCCCAGCTGCAGCCACAGCCACAGCCTTAGCCTGTCTCGGCCCCAGCCTCAGCCCCACACATTCCATTATACAGATAAAGAGAAAGTTCTCTCTCTCCCAAACGCACAGCATCCGCATAAGCATCGGCCAGCAAAAAAGCTTTGCTTCTCTCGGTAAGCTTTGACACAAGGCGAGCTTTATTGCGCAGGTGATGATGCTAAAGTATGTCACCGGGACATCTGGGTATCTCCTCTCCACTGCATTCCGTTACACATACACAGATGTTAGTTCTTATTATTGTTATTCGCCCGAGGATTCCCATTTAACAATTGTCAACTGAAAACTTTTCAATTACAGTGGATAAATTGAATATTATATACAATTACTAGACTGGACAAATAGATATGCAACTGTATATGTAAGTACATATGGTTTTTATGTGGAAAACAGACCCCTTCCCCAGTTGCTGCCTTCCTTCGTTCGTTCGTTCGCTTGATTGTTCCCAGTGAAAGTTATTGCTAACATATGATGTCCTCAGAAAAGTATACTCTCTATCCACTTTGAATTGGATTGGAATGACTTTATTGGTATAGTCATGTCCATAAGATTGCATCCCACTTGGTGGTATTTATAAAATTCTATAATTATGTAGTTACTCGTTATAAGAATTTAATGTTGTATCATGAAAATATGTTTAACTAAGCTTTTCTTTAAGTACATTCAGAAAAAATTTTATCTGATTTCTATATGTATGGAAAAATCAAATTTTATTTGGAGCCATATGAAAAACATATTGAACTAATCGAAATTCTTATCTTTCTTAAGCTATTTTGAACTATTGAAAAATAAATTAAAATTGATATAAATTTATTTTATAGTCTTTTTATAGGCAAGATTAATACATTAATTGCCTGACGATTTTCATATACCTGACATTATATTATATAGTATAGTATTATATATAATAGTTAACCCTATTTAACTCCAATTTAAAGCATAAATCAAAATTGTGAAACGTACAGTTCATATTTATATTTTTGAAAACAATTGTGTATTTCAGGTCAAAATTTTTTGTACATATAAGTTTTTAGTTTCTTTTTATAACAATATCATATATTATTCTATACTTTATATACCCAGATTTAAAAATATTCATTATATGCATATAATTACCTTGTAAATCTTCCAAATTATCTCCTAAAAGCTTGCCACTTGCGGATTCATCTTGAAGATAGTCCAAGACGGTGTCTTCATCTGTTTTTGTGACCTGAAATCTGTCTGGCATGTTTGTGGCTTTGATAATCTGAAAACATAAAAGAAACATTTTAATTATTTGTCTGTTTTTATAATTTTAGTTAAATGCTTTCTAAATCGGGATTATATGAGTAGTATCTGATTACTTCAGATGCCTTTTGTATAATTTCCGAGATTGAGCTCGCAAGAGTTTGTCAGGATCGAAAAAATCTTTTAAAATTTCAATAAAAATTCAATAAATTTAAGTAGAATCAAGATAAGGATAATATACCAAGATAGTTCCATAGAAACTTTATTGACACCTAGCTACCGAAATTATTTCCACAACGGATCTGTTTCCGCACTCACACACGAATGACGCTTGTATCGAAAAATCACCTTGAGCGTGGCGATAAGTCGAATAGAGTTTCAGGTTCGGCGCTAATGGAATACTACGACACACCCAACGCACATGATTTGAAACAGATAAGCCATACAGAGAAGTTAGTGAAGTCCACGTATTAACAGACATATTGCAATTAACACTTCTGCATAATGCCAATAAAATTTGTTAACAAATTTGTTAAGGTAATAAGGAAGCACACCTTTCCGAAACTGACAAAAGACGTGAAATCCTAGGGGACTGCATAAACGTAAGAAACTTTCCACAATAACTGAACAATTTTTTAGCATGCTGAATTATTTAGCATTTGATTTAATACAATATTAATGAATATATGTATGATATAATAGAGTTACGTTTGTGAAAGAAAAGTAGGATTTTCAGCCACACCATGATGGCCAAGTAAGACAAAATAGCTTTAACAGATTTTCATTGCTGCAATCAGCATTGCAATGCATTGTTCATTTTAGCGAAGCTCCTTCTTTTCCCTTTTAGCCACATCCTTATATCAATTCATATACAAGTTGCATTCATTCATTTTACAAATCATCAATAAAATTAGCTTGTAAAATCTCTTGAAGATATCACGTTGTCAAGCTCTTTCGAAGCCCCTATAGTACATCAGCTGATTTTGTTATCGACTCCTGTTTACAGCTATTGCGAAGCAAGCCAGCGCCAACTAAACGAGTAAATTCAATATCCACTTTCAGTTTCTCTACCCTGATGTTACGCACATAACTGAATAAGCATATGGATTTTTTGGAATCGTTTAGTCAGACACTAAATATTTTCAATTATAGATATTAGTACCCAGACTTAAAGTCTTCATTCATTTATGATAACAAATATAGCTCATTCACAAATCAAATGTATGACATAATTTATTGCATAATATTCTATTATTCAAAATTTTGTGACACAACTCATTAATTATAAATTTCACAATTTACCTAATCTATAATATCTTATATCACAACTTTTGGCTAGGGATTAAAACATTTCTATATCATGTGCAAAAAAACCAAAAAGAAAGGGTATTTAGACTTCGTCGTGACATATGTAGCGAAACGTTCTTTCGTTGTTTATCCCTCTTTTTGTATATGCATACACATATACTCACGCAGTTGTAGCGGTATATAAATGTAAAAACATACAGACAAATGAATGCACGCCTATATGTATGTATGTATGTATTTAGTAGCTAGCATAGCTTGAACTTTAAATCATAAGATTCCTGAAGCAGCAGCAGTTCAGTTCAGTTCAGTGAGTAAAAATTGAAACAAATGTGCACAGACGCATGCATACATACATACATACAGACAATATGCAAAGCATAATTGTAAGCGGAATAAAATCAAATTGTACTTACACACACTTATCAACATTCACTCACTCACACGCACACATGCACATATACATATACACACATATATATTGATATATATATGTATGTATATATTAGGTTGAATACGAATATTTGTGGTCCATACAAAAAGTAGCTTTGTTTGGTTGCTCTGATGGACAAATTATTGTCTGTTATTAATTATTAATTATTTAAATTATTGTTAAACTATTAGCAGCGTTGATTTTCTTTTCCCTAATATTTTGTGAACTTTTCAATTGTACGAATAAAATTAAACTATCATATTGAAGGCGCATGAGTAACAGAAACCAATTTTTCTACTGTATATAATTTGGAGCTGCGAGTTGGGGGAAATACTGTTGTATTAATGAAAAAGTAACTGAAAACCTATTTAGCGTATTAAGAATGGATACCGATTGTATTTTAGACAAATATAACAACAACAAAAACACATATTTTTGTATTTGTATATGTGTGTCTGTATATATGTATGTACATCTGTATGTATTTATGTTAACATATGAACGTCTGTCCAATTGCATGTTATTTAAGCGCATGTGTTTGTATGTATACATATACATATACATACAAAAACATAAAACATATATGTATGTATGTATATTTATACCATACACACCTGTGTATGTACATCTACATAATATGCATATGTATGTATATATATTTTGAGCTTATCTATAAAGCATAAATTTAATAGATTAGTTTTCATTAAATTTTTCTAAAATATATCATGTTTTCTGGCTTTCATTATATATTTTACAAATAACTGTTCATTAAATTTTTCCAACATACAATTAAATTTTTGAAAATTTATTGATTGTTATCTGATCAAGTATTAATCATTGTCATAGGTCTTAAAGATAAGGCCTGAGAATGCTTTAACGAGGTCTAATATAAATCCACCTCACCATAAAGCTTAAATATTTGTTTGATCAGCATTATATTCTAGAATGAATGGAATTCGAGCAAATTGGAAACTTTTAGTCTGAAAATCATACATAGATACATATGTTTGTATATATATTTAATCATAGCTCGTACGTGAGAGAGTGTATGTGTGATTAAATGATCTAAGGCTCAAGGGTCAAGTGTATCTTAAAAAATCTTGACATACTAAATATGGTTAATATGTGCATATCGAAACAGGTCTCTTGATGTTATCTCAAGTTTTGTCAAGTTAAATAACCGCTTGAAACTGGAAATAATTCCTAATCTGATATATTTAATGGTGTATGAACGTAAGACTAAAACTCAATTATATATATTTGATAGAAAGTTTAGTCTTATATATGTATATTCGTTTACTGTTTGCGAAAACAAAAATTCTTATCATGTTCTTTATTTTCGATATTTTTTCATTGCGTAATATCGATAAGAGAAAATCGAACTAAAAACAAAAACAATTGAGAAACGTGCAGAGCACAAAGATAGATTTTCGTTTGTTATAAATAGATGAATGAATCCTAAGTTTATTTTTATATATTTTGTGTTTTACTCTTCTTAGCTTTGGATAATGTAAGTATGAAATATTTTAGCAAGATTATTATAAGAAGTTTATAATATATAATAAATAATTAATGCAAACCACTTTTGGACTTTTATTATTATATATATATTTTTTAATACATAAATATAGAAAATAAATTATACGCACAAGCCATTTCAAATCAATACGATATTAAATACATATATATATATATATATATATATATATATATATATGTATATATTTATGTATAAATCAATATGTTTGTTTTAAAACGTAAATATTAATCCCAACATGTAATTAATAAATTTTCACTAGACCTTAAATATTATTGGTATATTTATTAAATAATTTATATATTTATGTTTAAATAAAATAATTTAGGATTGAGGTAAAGCCCATAAGGTTGCAGTCTTATCCGCAGATGTTGAAATAAACGAAAACTCAGTTGGATGCCATCGAATTGTAATCGCCTTGTCTTTGTGCTTGGCCACAACCACTGAGGCAAGATCGTTAGCTAGATCACCCTGTAAATCTGTTAGTTTAATCGTACTATCATAGCTACAGGTGAGCATATAATAAGCCTCTGGTGAAAAGCGGATGCATCTGGAAATAAAAAGATATATACAAATCACAATAGATTACCTTAAAAAAAATTATAATTACATAAACAAATTAAATATTGAAATATATCTGAGGAGTGCAGGAGTCTATATATCTTAGCATTCCTATATACTTTACCTAATTTCCGCGCTATGTGGATAAAATCGTTGTATTAGCCTATTTCCGCGTATATCGTATAGCACGCATGCGCTATCCGCGTGTCCCGACACCAGCAGTCGCCCAGTCGGATCGACGCAAACTGCAGTCACTGGCGATTTCTGCAGCGCTCCAGGCTTATATTCCTGATCAAAGGAGCTGACAGCTTCGTTAACTCGTATGTCCCAAAAACGTATCGTTTGATCCTGTAAATGTTACGATAAATATCTCTGGCTGGTCCATCTTGCATAGCTACGGCGAAATCGATTAATTACCTGCGATCCCGATACGAACATCGTATTATTCCAGCTGTACAGCGATGAGATGTGTCCAGTATGTCCTCCGAAAGCATGCATGGGCATGCTTGTCACACAGTCTGTTACGTAAATCTTGCAATCGCCGGCGCCGCCGCTCGCGAGTAATCGGGATTTGGTTGATGAGTTGTCGAGGAAGCACATATCTCGGACAGTGCCATCGTGCATATTCAGTTCGATCTCTTGGCCCACCAGCTGGTTTGTATCCTTGTTAAATCGCATATACTTGATGGTCTTGTCATTTGACCCAGTCGCAACCAGCTCGCCATCTGCTGACCAGCTCGTACAATATATCGATCCTCGATGATGCTTAGTGCGTTTGCATAAAACAGATGGAGGATAAAAGTGTTGATCGTGTCTACTGGTCGAAAAATCATTATTAAATTATATCTGGAAATTGACTTAATTTGTTAATCTTACCTCAGTTTAGAAATTTGCGGATATTGACATATTCGAAAGGTTTTTGAATTTGATCCAACGGCAAAAAGATTTCCATCTGGATGAAAGTCCACGCTGCGTATAGCCTGAGAATCCGTTATGGTTGTAACAGCAACAAACTGTGAGCGTTCTTCATCTCTCTGAAAGCAAAATGGTATTGCTTTAAACTTTAAGTAAAATGTAATAAGTCTATAGCACATTAACTAATCTGAGGTTATAGGATCTTTTGCAGATCTTTATGCAAGCGAATATAATTAAGAAGAGAAAAGTATTTATTACATATTTAAGCCGCAACGGTATTATTGAATAAATAAAGTTAAAATTTCTTTAAGACGCCTTTTTATATCAAATCTAGGTTGGAGTACGGTATTGCGCTTTTCTGGTTTCCACTTTTCGCTAGAAATGAAATCTACACGAAAATTTGTACTTTCTAACTCCTATTGCATTTGAGTTTAAGGCATTTAGACAGCTCGGCGGAGACGAGACATGCCAACGCACACATTCTTTCGTGCTGCTCAGAGAAATATCGTTTTCTTTTGCAAAACATTAGAAAACTCATTAAGTAATATATAAAAGCTATAAAATTACTAGTTTTTATACTTCGTTCATACCATTCTTCCATGGATAAAAACATGTATGTATAGTATAGAATGATTAAAATTGTAAAGAAAATATTTATATGTAGACATTACATAAATATAATTTAAAGATCTGCCTTAAGCGTTCATAGGAAAGTATTCGATGACGTCTGTTTTCGAAAATTTAAATAAAATTAAATATACAAGTATCTAATTTATTGTATACATTAAAAAGTACCGCTATCTTAAAATTTACATTCCTGCATTCACATTTTCTAGCTCAAACTGGAAAACGAATCAATCAATTTATTTACCTCTCTCATATTTGTATCGCTTCTGTTAGAATGCATTAATTTTAGGAACTAAAATATAAAAACCAAAATTATTTATTTATTATAAAAACTGTTTACAAATATGATCAACTGGTATATGTATATACTATATAAATGTGAACTTTGCAAGAGATGGTAATATCCAATACGGATTACATTTCGTTCTTAAATGCATTCAGGGAATTAGAGAAAATGGGAGATTAGTTTTAATCTTCTTGGTGCATCACTAATACTTTTTGAATGTAAAAAATAATAATCGCATTTCGAATATGCTGAAACCATAATTTAAAAGGATATATAATTTATGGAAGCCTTCATAACTAACAAACTAAGAAATTTTATTTAGTCTAATAAGAAAATATATACAAATTGTTAGCAAAGAACATGCAAACCAAATGCTAGTTATCGAAATGCTAGTTCACTGAACCAGTTTCAATGCTCTCAATTTAAGAAATATGTATTAAATGCATATTTTATATAAGTTTATTTCATAAAACAAAATTTTATTAAAAAATATATATATATTAGCATTGTTGAAATTTATATACTTATGTTAATATACTTTTTCTTCTTCTCATGAACTCCAATAAGAAATGTAGCATGGAAACAAAAATTTATGCCATTGCATTTATTTAATGTATCGATCTCATATCGAAAGACCCGAATATCGATTAGACTGCCATATTTGTAAAAGTCATATCGATACTTTGACCTTAGCTATCGATGCTTATAGTCCAGACTAAAGATTTAGTTGCACCGGGTAATGGGAAACGATCGCGTTATAAAAAAGATAAAGATGTCGGCTTTGGAACAGCTTAAGAAAATAACTACAATTGTAGCGGATACCGGCGATTTTGATGGTAAATAGAAGGAAGTTATTAAATTGGAAAATTATCCTAGTTTTTAGTACAAGCATTTATGTACATATATAAAGTAAAACAAACAAAAGTCGAACTCATTCACCTCGAGTTTAACTTTTATTTGAACTTCACGCATTCTGCACGTTCATTCAATCCTATGGTATTACACGTGTATACATACATACATGTAAATATATGTATGTATGCATGTGAATACACGATTGTAGCTTAGAAACGTGCAAAGATCCTGAAGTTCAAATAAAAGTTAGACGAAGGTGAGTCTGACTTTAGTTTGACCCTCTTTTTTCATTTTTGTATTTACCTTAATTATTATTCATATTCAAATATTTACACTTCATAATGAACTTTGAATAATATATTTTAAATGTGATAAAAAATATAACCTTGAAATGGAATACATTTTTAAAAGATTTGTTTATATATATATTTTTAATAATAATAATAATATTTTTAATAATAATAATAATATTTTTTATAAAGCTTATTACCTCTTAAATAGTTTACAAACAAATAAAATTGTAAATAACTATACCCATAAACAAAAAACAAAATAAAAAGGAAAAGTGTTCAATGAATGTGTGTAGGTTAATAAATTATTAATTTGTTTAATTAATGTGCTTATTTGAAAGTTAAAAGTTGCATTCACTTTTTGAAGGTCTTTATAAGCTGTAAAACAAATTCGAATTAACTGTTTGACCTCATTCTAATTTGAAAATTATTTAAGTAGAAAATTGTGTTTAATATTTGTTATTTATAAAATTGTTTGTAAATATGTCTTGCAACTTGCTTTAAAAATGCATTTCTTTATTTTAGCCATAAACATATACAAGCCTACTGATGCCACGACTAATCCATCGCTTATTTTGTCGGCCTCGACTATGGAGCGCTACCAATACATAGTTAAAAATGCTGTCGAATATGGAAAGAAGAAAGAAGGGTTAGTCACATATAAATAATTACAAATAGATACAGTTATATTACTTATAATATATTTAACTTCATTTCAGATCGCTGGAGAACAAGGTGTCGGAGGCTATGGATTATTTGTGCGTATTGTTCGGCTGCGAAATTCTAAAAGTTGTTCCGGGCAGAGTTTCCACCGAAATAGATGCACGTCTTTCGTTTGATACAAAGAAGAGCGTGGAGAAGGCATTGAAATTGATTGATTTATATGCGAGCTTCGGAATTAAAAAGGACCGTATTTTAATAAAACTCGCCTCAACGTGGGAGGGTATCAAAGCGGCAGAAATTCTGGAAAAACAGCATGGAGTGCATTGCAATCTCACTCTGTTATTCTCATTTGCCCAAGCTGTGGCTTGTGCCGAAGCTGGTGTGACACTAATCTCTCCCTTTGTTGGCCGCATCTTGGATTGGTATGTGGCAAACACAGAGACCAAGAAATTCGAGCCGAAAGCTGATCCTGGCGTTATCTCAGTGACGAATATCTACAACTACTACAAGAAATATGACTATAAGACATTGGTAATGGGCGCATCCTTCAGAAATATTGGCGAAATTAAGGCATTAGCTGGTTGTGATTTGCTTACGATCAGCCCAAGCTTACTAAAGGAACTGGAGAATGATGATGTCGTACTGGAGACCGCTTTATCTGTGTCCAATGCGAAGCTACAGGATATTCAGAAGATTACCATTGACGAGAGCCGATTCAGGTGGTTGCTCAATGAAGATGCCATGGCAACTGACAAACTGTCTGAGGGCATACGCAAATTCGCTGTAGATACAGTGAAACTGGAAAATGTCATCAAAAAATTGTTTGCCTAAATTTAAGTGTACAAAATGAATTTGTAAAAAAAAAAATTCCATTTATTAACTGATATTTTTACCACACCCTTCCACATATACAAATGTTTGTAAATCTTTTTTAATCGGTTTTATAAATAAACTTTAAAAAATATATCCGTATTTTGTTCAATTACAAAAGAGCCTGAAGACAAAATAAATAATTTTAAAATAAATTTATATTAGTAGTTATAGAAGCATCTGCCCAGTTCTATCGATAGTTTTTGTAGCATGTCGGGAATAATCGATTTCAATATGTCAAATACTTATCTATCGTTGGGTGTTTACTGTCATCGCTATTAGTCGACCCAACAACAAGTTGTGCTCCACGTTGTTTACGAGTTGAATTTGAAACTTAAGGTTAAATGAAAATGAAGGAGAAACGTAAACATTTTGGCTCAAGGCCTAAACGAAATGACTTACGAAAGGACAAAAAGTCGCCGAATAAACACAAATTCATACAAAGAAGCAGACAAATGGAGCAAATGCATAGAACTGAGTGTCAATATCAGAGCACAATTGATGATGGATCTAAATTGACTGCCGATCTTTTACCAGAATTGCAAGATGAAGCGCAATTTTATGAGCAGCTTGTAAGCGGATATAGCTCGACAATAGCAGGTATGGAAGAGTTTTATTTAGATTTAGCACAGCACATACCTAACTAACACATTATGTTCAGTTCCCACACTAAAAAGTGAAGAGAAATGTATTATACAAGAAAGAAAAGTTCAGGAAGATGACGTAGAAATGGATCAAAACCCTCAAGATATTGCTGATATAAAGAAAATTAATGTCTTTAAGAATCGATTTGATTTTGAGCTGGAGTCAGATGATATTTCTGCAATAATTGCAAAAGACACAAACGAGGTGAAAGGCAAATGGTCTGCAATTGGAAATTTCAAAATTGAGAAACCCAACTTAAAATCTACTGTTGACCCGGATGACAATTACAAACAGCCTGCAGATATTTTAAAAGCAGCAGATCTTCAGTTATTGAGAGTACAACCGTCACTAGCATTGAATGTTTCCTATCCCTTATCCACTGTACAAACGGAGCTCTTTCATATGGCCAACAGATACTTGGATCTCTACTATCCTCAGCGAACTCTTGATAACGCGGAGGAAATTCGTTATGTCTATTGCCTGCATGCAATAAATCATATATTAAAGAGTAGGGCATTAATCTTGCGTAACAATGAGAAAATCAATGAACTTCTTAAAGATCCCACGCAACCGACGAGCGAAATGTCCTTGCCAGATAGTGTCAGGGATCAGGGTCTAACGCGACTGAAAGCGCTGATTATATTGCCATTTCGTGATTCTGCTTTGAAAACTGTGCAAATAATAGCAAAGCTGCTGTTCGAAAATCGCAGGGGTATGTAATGAATCTCGGTTACAAATATATTAAATTTAATCTTAAATTGAAAATCTCTTAAATATATATATTATTTCTAGATCCAAAAACTGGCTATCCGGTTACAAAATACGAACGTTTTCTTCAAGAATATTCTGGAAATACGGTTTATTTCCCAAAAACCAATCCTAAACCAGCTGATTATGAGCAAACATTTAACGGCAATACGGATGACAATTTCAAAATCGGAATTCGTCTGACTAAAAAGTCGATGTCTTTGTACACTGAGTTTAGTGGATCGGATATTTTAATTGCCTCTCCATTGGCACTGCGTATGGTTATTAATGACAAGGATCAAGACTTTGACTTTCTGAATTCGGTGGAGTTGCTAATTATAGACCAATCGGAGCTTCTCCTAGCCCAGAATTGGGAGAATCTGCTGCAAGTGCTGGACCATTTACATCTGCAGCCACAAAAATTGCCCGAAACTAATTGCCAACGACTGCGTTCATATTGCCTCAATGCTACGTCCCGCTTTTATAGGCAAACCTTACTGTTTTGCTCGCACGACCTGCCTGAGTTTCGCGGAGTCATAAATAATAAATGCCATAATTACCAAGGAAAAGTGCGCATTATCAATCAGATCGAAAGTGGATCCATAAGCAATGTCCTGACGCCAATCAAACAAGTTTTCCAGCGCATTGAAAGCTCAAGTGTTGAGTCGGCTCTGGATGATCGCTTTCAGCATTTCGTGCGTCACATTTTGCCACAATTCACAAAGTCTGGGCACTCGCATTGTCTGATCTATGTGCCCAGCTATTTCGATTATGTGCGCCTAAGAAATCACTTTAAGAAAGAAATGATTAGCTTCGTCCAAATAAGCGAATATTCAAAGAAGGAGAAAATCTCCCGAGCGAGAGATATATTCTTCCATAGTGGTGCTCCATTTATGCTCTACTCAGAGAGAGGTCATTTCTTCCGGCGGACTCGCATCAAAGGAATCCGACACTTAATATTCTATCAGCCACCAAATTTTCCCAACTTTTACCCGGAGTTGATTAACTTAATGCTTGATATTAACCAAAATCGCAGAGATGGCTTACAGGATGTTATGAGTGTAAAAGTCTTATATACCAAATTTGA